GTACAGCACTTGGTGTTTTATTGCGAAAGAGCAAAGAAACAGCGATCGGAATTACCCCGATTTCACCGATACCACGCGGTCGGAAGGCCGCGAGTCCCGCGAGGCCGTGTTTACGCTACCTACTTCTTCGGACAGGTGGACTCATGCCCTTATTTGTTAATTTTTGTGGTTGTTTATGGGCTGTTCTAATTTTGATTTCATTCGGTCGTGAAATCTTTCTTTTTCACGTTTTTACACTCATCTAAAAATCTCTAGACTAGCTCTTGAAAATTGAAATACATGTAGATATAGACCTAAAAATTTGCTCCTGTGTGTGTGTGTGCGTGTGTGAGTGTGTCTGTGTGTGGTAGTAAGTATGTAAGTGGAGAGTGAGGAGCTTGTGTGTTTGTTTTTCGGGCTTTATTTCAGCCTTTGTTCAGTACATGGGTCTCAACTCAGAATTCTAAAAAAGGAGGAACTTTCCGGGTGATTGCCACAGAAGCCCATTTTCGCGAAACACCCATTATTATTATTATACTGTTGAACCCTAGAATACTGAAATAAAAACCATCAATTTATCAAAGCAAGGTTATTTCATACCAGTTTGAGGGTTTGGGAGATAATTTCAAGTAAGAGTCAATACCCAGTATTTACAATCTAGATTACGTACAGAAAGTGGTGGCGCCTGGGGTCTTGTGCGACTTATTTACATTTTCCCTTCATATTTGCCTGTATATATAAATTATATAAAAATGAATCTTGTTTTGAGCCCAGAACCAGAATATAAACCGTCATGATTCATTATATATTATATATAATATATATATATATAATATAAGTCAAAGTAGAGCAGAATAGCCGAAGTAGACCTATTCAGTGAGAGAAGTTTAAGAACTGTGGGAGGGCAAGATGCAGTGATACTGAAAATCTGCGAATCTTGAACAGAAAGTCAAAATATAGAGATCTAATTTACTGTCACCAATCCAATGAAACGCGAACACTTAGGCCCCTAAGTTTCATAACACGCTTACAAGTTACGAAGGTTCCCGATTTCACACAAGGCCTCCACCAACGCACAAATTTACTTTGCAGAGAGCTGAAGTAGTAATCAAATTTCTATACATAAAACATTTATTTCCAGTTTCAATTTCTTTTTGTCCTCTGGTATTGCGTCCAGCCCTCCCCTTACCCCCCGAGTGCCTCTTTTTAAAAAATTAATAATCCTCCTCAGAACGCGCGCAGGTTCATTGACCGGTCACAATGGCAAGCCCGACAAGACGTTTGTATAACATTCTTTTCTTCTTTTTTTTTTTGTTGCCCCCCCCCCCCCCCCCCCCGCAAGTGACAGCACAGTGACAAATATTGATTTATTTTCATGGCGACACCACGTTTGCAATGCCGAACCTGCATGTTACAATAAATGTTGCGTGATCAGACAATATTACTGACAAATTTCTGGGTAGTAACGAAAGCGAAAGTAGATCTCGATTTTCCAGTCGAGCATTGGTGATACAATTCTGCTCGCTGCCAAAGCCGCCAGTTCGCATGAAACATACTCTCAGAGACCGGCAGAAATGAACTTAAAGACGTTATTGGATTTGGTTTTCAAATCTTCGAGATCTTTCATGTATTTTCCCAGGTCTCTGCGATTTTTTTTTTATTTCCAAGGCCTGGCAATCACCCGGCTCCCAACAACTCTCTTTCTGATTGGCCTGCTGTCGCGGTTGTGGAGTTTAGTGGGGGAAATGGCGGTAGCGGAAATCCGCTAAATAGCGGACTATTGAGACCCATGCAGTAACAGTTCAAAGTATACAAAAATAGAAACACAGGATCCATTCAGTCCAGGGCTCATGAGTCGTTCCCCTCTTTCACTTTCACTCATTCATTCAATTCCCGTGTCCCGTGTTCTCTCCCGTGGCTCATCCCCGTCCGCATGACTTACACACCCCACCCCCTCCCTCCCTGCACATACAAAGAAAATCTCACTCATTCCCTTGCACCCTGCGAACCATGGACAATAATATTAGCAAAAACCTGCCATAGCCGCATTCCTTTCGTTCGTGCGCTGTGGACCAGGCCAGGGGGGTCGGTGTCGTCGCCTTGAAGTTGTAGTTGCTGTCGCCTGTGATACACTCGTACATTCTTCCTTTCACCTGCTCAGTCACTCACACTGTCTCTCCATCCACAGCTCAGCTCGTCATACGTTCAAAAGTTGCCCACTGATCATTTTTAGTTAGTGTGTGTATAAGTTTGTGTGTGTACATGTGGAAAGCCGTACATGTGCATGATGGTGGTGGGTATGTGGTGGGTGTTACTGAAGGTTGTCTGTAGGCGGGCTTGTCATGCGGTGTTCCTTCCCAGACCAGAGGCAGAATGAAAGTTGGCGCCGAACTCTCGCAATAAATAGGCAAAAAATCACGAGACCGGAAGCCGGTAACCGGTCAGAGAAATAAAGATCGGCACTATTTCTCCGAACGTTCGGAGAAATAGTCACTTCCTTAAGTAATTGTCTGATGTTCCAATTCTGGATTCAGACTAGATCTAGAGTAATCGTACCAGTTCGGGCAGCACGTTTTTTTTTTTGCTGTCGGGCACTGGAATACAAAAAGATCGTTTAAAACTTTGTT